ACCCACAGGGCGCGGCAGGCACTGCGGCCATGATGCTTGGTGTGTGTGGGTCGCCGGGTAGCTGTGCGAGGCTCCTCTGGAGGAGGATATCGCGACGCCGCTGACGGGGCAGCGTGTGCGTTCCCGCCCACACCCTGCCTGCCCCTGCTGCTGCTCATGGCGGCCATACGTGTGGCTGAACGCGAGGCTTGGGTGCGGCTGTTTGCTTTCTCTTCGCTCGGGCGCGCGAGGCCGATTTCAGTATCGACTGGGGCGGGAGGAAGGAAGAGAAGGAATAGACGAACGTTCTCAGTTGTAAGAAGTGGGGAAGGTACCACATTCTTTGTACCAACTGTTTAATCTTTTCTGCATCCACTAGTTACCTGTTTTCTTTACTGTGTCGCAGAGCAGCGTGGTGGCGGGGACGTGGCCGGTAGAGCTCTTGGTTGTGCTGCGAGCGCTGTGCTTGTTCTCCTCCTATCCGCCCCATCTTCCTCGCGGTTTGCTCACCTTGGGCGCGCCTGTGGTGGCATTCTGCTGTGGAACACCGTGCTCGGATGCGCCCAGTGGGGAAGGGGCACCGTTCGCCGCAGACGCACGGGGCTCTTGATGTAACACGGTGGCACAACAGGCCCCCATCTCTGGCTACCTTTTTGTCAGAATTGCTCTCTGAGGGGCTTACCGTTCACAAGAGGGTGATTGTAAATAGATTTATGGTATCCTGAGGACGTGGACTTTGTATCGTTCCACGACTTGCATGGGTGCTTTGCGCAGTTGTAACATCGGGCACCACGGCTCTTTGTGCGGGGACGAATGCAGCACTTGTTGGCCACACCTGCGCGTGGACAAGTGAGGTGGCGAGTGGGACGATGCAGAGTAACCCACCGGCATGGGCGGTGGTTGCGTTGCTCAAGACAGTAGCATCACTGTGCGACTGTTTTTATTCGCGATGCCGTCCCTGCGAAGGGGAACGAAATACAACCAGCAACATCGGGCTCTGGGTGGAGTGGATTCGAATTTCTTTGCTGGTGATTCGTGCGGGGAATGAGTTTCTAACAGACAGTCGCTGCATCCCTCAGGGGCCCGGTGCTTCCCTTCTAAGTCATCTGTACACCGCATGGGTCTTGTGGACACCGTGTGAGTGTGTGTGCGTAGTTTTGGAATGACTTCTAGAGCAGGGGGCGGATTTTTTCTGCTGTGTGCCTCCCCTCTCTGTAAGTTGGTGCCGCGAGTGTTACGGCGTGTCGCGGCATCACTACGACACATGGTGTGTGCGTGTGTGTGCATCATTGTGTACGGAGGTTGTTGTGGAAGACGCCAAACTGCTTTGGCGAGGCATTCACCACAAGGAATATCGTGAAGGAAGGGCGAGAGGAATGGGCTACGTGTGCTTCCTCACGCATAATCCATGGTACCTCTCTGAAAGATGTGTTGTGCGCCCTGCATTTATGAGAGGTGGCGGGTGAGAATAATAAGGGAAAACGCATTAAAATACCAAAGTAAGTGTGTGTGTGTGTGGGGAGAGAGAGAGAGTAACGTAGCGTGATAGTGAAAAAGGGGATGCGAAGTGTGGATGCGGAGAGAGCAGGTTTGGTGCTCTGCTCCCTTTTGATGGATTCTTCCATGTGTGCTGGAGATGAGTGACAACGATCTCACGGTGTAGGCACCACTGGAAAAGTATTTTATGGGGGATGAGAAATATGAACCCACTTTCATGTGCAGATTGACTGTCAGGCTACTCCTCCTGCTGTGCTGCCTGCTCTACCACGTGCAGAATGAGGCTCAACTGACAGCAATGCTGGAGATGAAGGTGACTGTGGTACGCAACCTATATTTGTTTGGCTTCCGGACATGGACTACTCCTACTGAGAAATTGATTTATACGCTGAAAAGATGGATGGAAGCCAACCTCGAAAACTGTTGCATGTGCATTGCTATCTGTGGATGCGACATGATGACTTTTGGGCGTCATTGAATAATGGTGCACCACTCTGAGATGATGTGAGCAGCGCCGACGAGGGAGGGAAAGGGTTGCTAGGGGTGATAGGTGGCTCTTTGTTGTGCCGATGCTCTTTGAGGTGGTGCGAAGTGATGCAGTAAAAAAAGGGATCATGAGCATGTGTGTGAAGCACTTGTTTGGCAGGGGCAGTGCTTTGTTGTGAGCTTTCCTCGGTGTCTCCTGGTGTGCGGAGTCGCGGGGATCCAATGCTCAATTTATGGTTGCTTGGGGGGTTCTGTTTGACGCAAACTGAGGAACGTAGCATTCGGAATCATCATGATGTTGGTGGAAACACATGACGCTGTGTGGGGTGTGGTGCCTTTGGATGGTCATTAAGATATGTGAGTGTTTGTGTGTGCTTTTGTCTTTTGAATTTGTCCGGAGGGAAACAACTCTAGTTGAGTGGGAAAGTGTGTTGGGTTATATTCCTCCTTCGACATATCCTTCACCTGCACATGGTCGCTTGTAAAAGAAACGATCAAAGAGTCCGTCTTGCAGAAGTTGACACTGAATCGAGTTGTTGGTGGGTGCTCTTTTTGGTTTCTTCCTGTATACACTTGTGGTGCTCACCATGTGTTTGAGGAGCAGACTGAAGGTGGGATTTCCTCTCGTGTTTGTGTGTCATTTGTGGTGAGTGACGGTAACAATACTTGAGTCTGGTTTCAGGGGGAGTGAGAAAGGAGGTGTCTGTGTGTGCGTATTCCTTGTTGAGGGATTGGCTTCTTCCCAAGCAACACAATACGAATTATTCTTCAGGCGACAGTGTGGTGGCATGGTCCCCACAGACGGTGCCTCAGCATGTGCTTCTGACGAGCGACACAAGCCACGCTGACACGGGTTCAGGGCATGCTGGCCACCTGATGTGCCTCTTGGAGAGGTGCAATAGACATTGAGGGGATTGTTGGTGTCAAGTGTATTGGGGCAGCTTTGTAGTGGCTGTGCTGAGGTGCAGGGGGGAGAGAGAAGCCCCAAAGAAGTGTGCAGAAAAAGGCCTAATAAAACACTGTGATCAAATTGATGAAACACAAGTGATGCTTCTTCACTTGGTATGTGAGTGGAAAACACCAATTGCAGAAGCGTAGGGAGGTGTCTACTGTACAAGATCTTTTGTTACTGATTCTCTGTGCTCTGTATGCTGTGTTTTGCTTCTGTTTTTATTTCTGAATCAAGACAAACAGCTGCTAGTAGAACTATTAATTATTTCAAGCAATTGAAAAGCATGAGGCACATGGAAGGGAAGTCGCAATTGGCACATCTACAGTGTTGCAAGTTACCAAAGAGCATTGAGAGTTGCAGTCTCGGTGCCATGGGACTCTCTGAACCTGTTTCAATCCTGCGCCGAGGCAAAAGGAAGACGAGACTGCTGGCGTCTATGGGACTGCAGTTGAGAGACATCCAGGTGTTGTTTCTGGTACTGATGGTTGTGATTGAACCGTTTCTTCGCTGTGCCGCTGCAGCTGGTGGCGTGGTCCCCCGAACGAGAATGGCCACGCCTGCAGCCGACGACGATTCCTTGGTGAAACTCACGAACTGCTTTCCCACCGTTATATTCGATAGCTTCCTCAACCTGTACACCTGTGAAGTTAACAACGTCCAACCACTGAATGAATCGAAGCTCTTTGCCTCTTACTATCATAAAGGAGACCTCAATCCTGGATGGCCGGCGACTCTGGACGAGGAAACCAATACCATTACATTCACGCCTAATGGTGGTGCCCCGTCTTCAGGACGTTGGGACTTGGTCATCACGCAGGTTTCTGTTGATGGATTCTCTTACATTCCTCGGACGACCAATAAGAGCATGGACTTCATGGTGATTACTGCGACTCGTGCGAATTTTGCTTTAC